TAATTTATTTCTCAGACTTTTAATTAGTGAGGTTGCTGGAACTTCATTAGCAGAAAGTCTGAGGTAAAATATGCACATGCCAGCTAGCTAGTTAGCTAGAGATGTGAGCATATGTGAGCTTATAACCTCAGAAATTTACCTCGGACTTTCTGATAGTGAAGTCGCTATTTGGCTAAAGGGTCTATCCAGTGTCTAAATAACTGTATAATAAATCTATTTTACAAACAATCAACCATAAAGGGGCACGGCGACCGGGGGGGGGGTCTTACGCCACTGGATGGGGGGCATCTTACTCCAAACATACTAATCTAGCATTTTACTACCAAAAACTATAAAAATCTTTCACTCTAAACAATTGCATAACTTATCTTAAGGCTCCCCTTAATGTTAATATACATACATAAATTGAACACAATAAAAAATTAATTACAGCTTATTTTAACTGACAAAAAATTAGATCAAATTAGGTCAGAATGGCTTTGATCAAATAACTAATAATTGTGATGAAACAGAGAACATTATTAGTTCAGTGAGAGACTAGGGGCAGCCAGAAGCCAGAAAATTGTGACATTTTATGTTTTTTGTTGGAATTACCATGGGGGAGTCTTACCCTATGTTACCCTATAGGCTACCTAAAGACGGACATAGATTTTATTCTGTGCTGAGGATAAATCCACAAGTGTGGAGATCTGTCCATAGGCCTACATCGATGACAGATTGATCATAAAGCGGTCATGTTCAAGATCATGTTAGGGTAAAAAACTAATAGCCTATCTAACCAGGACTTTAAAGTTTTTAAAGACGTAAATGCGTTCAGATATGTGCTTTGATATCGACAGAATGAATGAGGAAATAGAATGTCAGACAGTCGCCTCAGGCTCCGCAGGAGGGGAGGAGTCAGAGAGAACTGACGGTTTTCCAACTTATCCTGTGAACCTAACCTCGGAGGTTAGGTTCACATATAATTGTTTTAACCTCGGAGGTTAGGTTCACAGCATCAGTTGCCGGAGTTACTGATCTAGGGATTATCTGATCTCGCTCTCTGAAACGGAAAATCCAGAGTTTCCCTCATCTCAGGCTTAACATAGCCTACTCAGAATTTTCACTAATCTCGCAAGTTAGTATTTACGTATCAAAATCTTTTGTGGAGCTGTTGGTTGAAACGCTGGAGCTGTGACCCTTTGTGTTGAACTGTGACAGCAGATCAGCCTGAAAGAAGAGCAAATGAGGTGATCTCACAAGGTGTAAATCAGTATGTCAGAGCTCATCATGATTTTAAATAGCTGGGCTGGGATGAGATAGGGGGGAAAAGACACCTGCCTCTCTGGTTGGTTCGTCCTGCTCCAGGCAATCAGCCTCGCCCTCAAACTCTCCAACTACTGCTTCTCTCGGCCAATCACAGACCTGTGGCAGGAGACAAGGACAATGCATGAGCACTTTTGGAGGTAAAGACATTCAGTCCCAAATAAGGTGACAGATACTAAATACCAGCATACAAAAATCAATGTGCACCATATGCTGAGGATGCTGAATGATATCTGTTTGATGTGAATGTGGTGCTACAGTGTATCACAGCACAAACAGCATCAGGTAACCAGGCAATGGGCTCAACACAGTAACTAGTGGCCAGGTTCATAGAGTGTGTTTGCAGCGCGACATGCCTACTCATAAAGTGCAAAGTTGAATGTTTCCCTCTGCTTCCAACAACTACATAGAAATGCAATCAAAACAGACTCCTTTAAAATCTATCTATTTCATAGTTACATAGCATGATGATATAAGGCAGCACACTGCATCCCATCATTGCCAGGATCTCCGTACCCACGATTAATACTAGGTTACGATTAAACTTTTTAAAAAATCGGCTGTGTTCACTTTTGGTTAATACTACATAGATTTCCGTTTTTTCCACATATCTTTTTATTTAAATGTGGTGACACAAATGAGAGGGGGGTTCCCAGAGTAGTTACAGACTGTCCAGTCACGGCAATACGCTGCAATACTTATGTTCTTGCAGCAGAGGGGCTTTCTGTAACTGCTGAGCAGCTGCAGTTTCACAAGTTCCACACAAAAAAACACGTCCTATCTACTACTGTGGTTATTAAACATGCTTGAAATTGGACTAAACGTCCACACAACTTACCCCAGCAGTGCTCCAGCACGTCAACAATGCAGGCTAGCCTGTGAGACCTGTGAGATTCCTATCCATCCAATACCAAGTAATACCCAGGCTGGTATTGCCGATACCGATACCGATACCATACCAATACTTTTTACATATTTTATTTCTAGTTTAATGTGACCTCCCTCTCCCGTTTCTGTATTTATGAGAGAAATAAAGACTAGGCCGTGGCCTTCAAAATAATAGCTGCATAATGACAAGACATCAAACTACTGTCATATTCTTTAATTATAATGAAAATCTCCTGCTTAGAACTGCCGCTTCATAACATCATCATATTATTTTGACTTAATCTCAGATGTTTAGCGAAGTTTGCAGTGTTGCTAAAGTATTTCACTGTCTTTGCACATACATCACATACAGGGTCATTATTACCTTCACAGCTAAAATACAGCCAGACGTGACGCCTTTTACAGTCAGCCATAGTCAGTATTCAATCGCAGACTGAGTTTAGATATCGATCTTTTTATATGAGTATCGATCCTAGAGCAGGAAACGTTGGTATCGGAAATATCAATAGCTTTAGGATCGATCCGCACTACTGTTCACCCTGCTGCCTATATAGATATAGAAGTTTCTGCTGTCACACACCAGAGCAGTTTTATCCCCCAAGTTATCAGACTCTTAAACTCTAACGTTAATTCATCCTCAGCACTGCTACATTGATGATAGTTAGCCATTTTTTCTAATTGAATCTGTATTGTGTTATATTGTGACAATACCTAGCCACTTTAACGTAAAGTTCAACACACCAACCTGCAAAATAAACACCGAATAAACAACAAAATGGCAAAACTTGTAGATTCCGAATTATAAATTGATCAACGACTTGCGCAGCTTTTAAATAAATCTTATTTTGTAACATTAACATTACCAGCCCTTTTTTGAGAAAGCGGTCTGAAGTTAGCGCGTAAAGTTACTGTCAAAGTTTACTAGCATACACTTATGACATTAGCAAGACAACGCAGGAGTCAAGTCAAATAAGTTACGTACATTCCTGTGCTATCCAAGCAGAATTATTAAAATTTAATACTTAACGTTACACCTCAATGTGTTGTGTGTCTGTTCTTGATCAGCCAGTCCTTGACATCTGATTTTTGTTGAGCGGTGTTAAATTTTTCCTGGCAGAGTTTCGACTTGACCCCACAACTGTGCTGTGATTAGGTTACTCGTCACTTGCACCATGAGACTGAAGAACAGATGAGCCAGAGCAACACATTGAGCTGATAGATAAATACTAACTTGTGTGGGTTTGGATGGATGTCACAGATGTAAACAATACCATTCATATTAAGCAGTGGGCTATCATAGTCAGACCTTACTAGTTACTGGTGTCAATGTCAACACAGAGTAGAGTAGCTACTTGCTCTGGCTCTTGCTCTGTATGAATAGAAGCCTTAAGCAGGTAGAGAGAGAGGACGGACTGGCCGTATTTGGGTTAATGATTTTGTTGGTGATGAAACATCTCAGCGAGTAGGTCTACCACCGTTTGGTCCAAGAGGACGAAACCCGGTTCCAGAATAGTAACCGTTGCTATGGTGTAGTATTTGGCCCGCCCCTCCTCTACTGTGTTTGGACAGCTGGGTAAAAAGTGACAATGAGGAGCGCAGCATCCCGGATAGCAAAAATCATGCGGCCCAGATCTGGCCCAGATCCTTCATAAGTTCTGGGCCAGATCTGTAAAACGGACCCGGGCCAGTGTCCTTTAGCACAACGGGCCAATGGATCCGGTTTTCACATCTGGGCCAGTACTGGTCCAGCTCCAGAACGGATGACAATTATTATGTAGTCATTTGGCCCAAATGTCAGATCTGAGTCTCTAAGATACTGTTGAGGATCCGGTTTTCATATGTGGACTGGCACTGGGCCGGCACTGGGCCAGCTCCATTTATTAGTTCTGGCCTCTTTCATAACCTTGATCTATACCCACAAAACATACAAAAATGTGGATTTTTTTGTTATGGCAGGAGCTGGTCTATATAATGTATAACAAATAGTGACTTGTATATCACTAAGGTACACTAAGATTTCTTGTTTTACTTTCGTTTTCTTTTTCCTTGCATTTTAAACACGATTACTTTTTTCTTTTGAATTTAAAAAGCATGGACAGTCAAAACTACTGTTACAAAGACTGTTTCTATTTGTCCTACACAGAATTTCAACAAAGAAAGTGATAGAACGGATGAGTGACACATTTAAAATTTTATTTAAAATACACATTTTAAATTTTATTTGAAATGTTTGAGATAAAAAGAGAGGACAGAAACTTAAAACAAAGTAGATAATTGCCAAACTAACAATCAATCTAATAAACACATTTTACAGCTCATTTCTGTCTTTAACAACTGTAGGAACAAGAAACTTCAAACACTCCAGTTGACTTGCAGGTGACAATTAGTTTCTAGTAACTGTACAGTAACCACACACCTATGACACAGGTGTATTTTTAAATGAATGCAGAAGTATTAAACTCTAATAATCTCTAATCTAAGCAACAGTGTGGCTTAGTTAAAAAGCTCAATACATTGACATTGCTATCAGTCTTGCATAGTGTAGTGTACCATTAATAATGATGATGGTAAGAAAGTAAGATTTCTTTCTCCCTGAGAAACATATAAAGCTAAAGCCAGGAGACACACGAGATTCTACGGCCTAAACAAACAAGATAACGTTTTAATTAGCGACAAGCAATAAGTTTGTCCTGATAGATGATTACTGCCAGCCATTTAGATTTTAACCATTTTCCATGACCCTGGTTTTAATAACAAAGATTTTATAGCCAAAATACAATATCCAACTCCGACTAGTCATGTGAAACCCTGAAAAAAATGTAAAATGTTCATACACATTGTTTGGTGGCTTTACGGGAAACACTGATGAGGCAAGTGGAGAAGTGGGAATGCCATAACCCTCACATGACACCCAACAAATCATCAGTAGTGGAAGAGTGGGGGATGGCCGATGTGTTCATTTCTGCAAAGGATAAAAGAATGGGTGATTACTCAACTGATAATGGCAATCACAAATTACATAAAATGCACAGAGATTAGTCATTTTAAAGGTGGCTGGACTAGACTAGGGCTGGAAGATTTGACCTAAAATCAAAATCCCGATTAAGTGAACATTTTACCGCGATTACAACTAATGAATGATTATTTCGTTTTTTTTGCCCTCCTAGTTCACTGACCAGGCTTGTACCGCAAACATGCTCAACTATTGTAGGTGGGGTGGTTTTTTAGACTCACAAATGTCAAAAAACGATTAAGTAAATGTTAACTGATAAGATAATGTTGAAGTGCACACAACAGACGTACTCCCCCTAAATTTGGCATACTGCTACTCCACTGCTCACTGAATGAGTGCCGCTACTAATATTTCACATGATCAATTAATATCAATGCGCATTAATCTCGTGTAACAGTGTTGTGTGCATGTGACCAAATGTGAGAGAGTGAGCAGCTGAAAGTGACGGTGAAAGTGAGCAAGGTTGTTGTAAGTGTGGCAGTAAATGATCAGTGTGGGTCAAAGTGTGTTCATAAATAAATGCTGCTGGAAAATTAAGGCAGTTAGCACTAGCTAACATCTCCCTGTGCTCCAGACTCTGGGAGCTGAGCAGGACAGGGCGGAGTCACTGACTACACAGTTTTTTAAGGGGAAAGTACATAAACACACACACAGGGGGACATTTTAACAGGAAATAAAACAACTAAATAACTGTAATGGTAAAATTACAGCCGTTAGAGCTCGGAATTTGGGTTTCAATTACTTCAATTAGACGTCCAGCCCTAGAGGGGAGACATCATGAAAAACTCCCCTTTTCTCTCCCCATTTGGGTATCAAACTGTGAAATAAGACAACCCGGACAGATTTTTGTGGGTTGCCTAGATCACAAAACATGTGCTTCAACAAGCCATTCAGATTTGGTTCTCCTTCCTATGTCACATGCAGGCTTATTAAAATATAAGATAAAATAAGATACAACTTTATTAAACCACCGCCTTCCCCATCTGAGTATCCCCACTCAAGGTTAAGTACCATCTTTGCAAAGCAGTGGCATATTTTTCTCGCAAGCAAATCAGAGCAGACTGGGCTTTTTCAGGATGGGGGGTTTAACGAGACAGGTGCTAAAATGGAGCGTTTCAAAAACAGGGTAAACATAGATTACCATGGTTAATGCCTCTCTGGCCATGGCACGTTCTTTGCAGCCACCTCCACGGTCAGAGGCCAGGTTGAACTGGTTAATTTCGTTGTCCGATGCGCTGCTAGCAGCTTGGTTCTTCCGTACAGCCTCTGTTAAGAGAGAAAGTCAATTGGTTGATGAGCTGTCATCAACAGACATTTTGAAAATTACCTGTAAGCCAAGCTAATAACCAACTTTTTTGAGAAATGCTTTAGAAGGTTGAAAAAAGTACTCAATGCCCATGTTTACTATTGTTGGTGTGGCAGTAGACCTAATTTTCTATAGCATTTAATTTAGTAACTCAAAACAAATAGAATTTCACTCATGAATAACTAATTATTAAAAAATCATACTGATTATGAACTGAACAATTATCAAATCACATCTGGATTGTATTGGATCAGCCTTAAATCTCAGTGCATCTTATCATTACAAATTTATCTGTGTGGATTCTGTATCAGGTCATGGATAGGCATTGGCGGGTACCAACATTTCCCCAGTATCTCCAGGCAGAGGACATTTAGGGGAATCACGTTTAGTAAAAAAGTAAATAAGTAAAAGCTCTCAATTCAACTCCATGTAAAACATTACAGCAAACAAGCTTCTCGTGCTTTTATTTTGCTGGCAAATCTACAAAGAGGAAGTGATTATGTGAGGAACCGGTGCTGTCATGACTGAGATATATTTTACCACCGCTATCAAAGTATTTTTTATTTTTTTATTTTTTGGCTTTAAAGTTACAACCCTGATATATTAAAATATACTATTTAAATATTTTATTTTACATAAAAATTCGTTCTCATCTACTAGTCACCTCCACATATAATACGTATTCTAAAATACTTACTGATCAACAGAGTTCTTGTAAGCATTTCTTTAAAATATTTCTTTTCTCTTTTCTTTGCTCCTCAACCATATTACCGCAGTGTGATTTCATACAAAGTCAATGAAAAGACACGGAGAGATGCCATTTCCCGCCCATAGACCTTATTTGTCATAATGAATTTACGTTTTGATTAATGTCAGATGAAAATTCCAACTTCTTTAGATGGCTTTGATTTTTTAAACACTTAACTTACCTATCATAACTTTATAACGTTATGCTTAAATATAGCCAAGATTTGAAAATCAAAGCCAAAAATACTTAAATTAACTTACCCTATAATCAGGCTCAGCCAGGGGTGAAATAAAGATTGAACCTAAAAAGGAGACAGGTGCTGTCAATTGGTGCTGTTGGAAACTAACGTTACAACATCGTTGTAAGTTAACTAACGTTAAACAGCATTAATGTTTTGTGCTAGCTGCACACAAAGTTGTTTATTAATGCTAGCTAGCTTAGCTATCCGTTCATTCAGTTAATTTATCTAACCCAGCTAAAACGTCAGCCAATGCCTCTTCAACAGTTTTAGCTACTTTAAGAAGTTAAAACCCGGTCAAAACATTCCGATGTGATGATGTTAATGATGTTAACAAGCATTACACCACTATTAACAATCTCACTAAACTGTTTGACTGTAACATCGTTCAACTTACCGTTATAAACTCTTTCCCCAAAGCTTCCAGTCCGAACTGATCCAAAGAAAGAAACAGTTCGCGCGCTATTTCCGACGAGTCCGGGCCAGAACTATTATGATTCCGCCGACTGATGGATGCTCACGCCCACTCCTGAGTGCACACAGACTACATGCGGGCCGTATCTGGAACGGGGCAGTAAAACGGGCGTGACTGTTACACGGATCTGCCGGTTTGGAGGCGGATCCGGCCCAGAGTCAGCTGCTATCTGGGATGTTTCCCAAAGTAGAACATTTTTCTGAAAGGTTGAAACTAAGGGTTTGAAAACTCAAAATCTTACAAAAAAAAGTTTTGCAAGCTTGCAAAATGTAAAAAAATTTAAATATTCAGTCTGTCAATCCCTCTATCCAGTAAATATGACTTGTGATTGGACTGTACTTCAGCAGACAGCCAAGCATTGGCCAAGAGCAGAAGGCCCTGCCTCCAGGCCTTTTTTTTTAAGTGGCGTGGTTGCGAAGCTTCATTTTCGCTCAGTCTGAGTTTCAGAGTTTCGGGGCAGAGCTGCGTGACAACGCTGCCACAAATCACGCAAAGTGGGTGTTGTAAACTCAGCTCTGAAAAAATAGTCTGCATAAGGAGTGCAAATGTAATGTAATGTAATAAAGCTTCGCCCTTTTGAACCTCAATTTTCAAGATTCAAACCTTTTTTTCACACATTTGCACACCAATTTTCAGATCTCCATTTACAAGGTTTCAAACCTGGAAAACAAACTAATTCACTGGGAGAACACTGACGAATTTGAAACTCAAACTCAAAAACAACATAATGTTTGCAGAGATATTTTTATTTCGCAAAGCTCGCAAATGTTAGTTTTTGATCTTGCAAAACTATTTATTGTAAGATTTTGAGTTTTCAAACCCTTAGTTTCAACCTTTCAGAACTTTATTTTCAGTTTTGAATCAAGGCAGGATATTAATCCCATAATTAAGCTAATGAATAAGCTAATGAGAGAATTGAAAACCAGCTGGATGCAATTACGTTGGTTACTCTGGAATTATGGTTTGGAATGTTTAAAAAACACAGGATAAAGAAAGATATACTATATCTACTAAAATGGATAGCATTTGATGGTCATTTCAAGCCATCTGGATATTATAAGGGATTTTAACAGTGGGTAAACATGAATCCTACAGGTAGCCTATTTACAGCTAAGGGATTAGCCTACTACAGTATAATAAACAAATCAGAAGAGACTCCAAGTGAACAGTGTGATTCAAACTATGATCAATTCATATAAAGATACCAAAATTTGAATTATATCTACACTATACCGGGCATTGAAAATGAAAAGAAAAATGGGGAAAAGAAGCTCAAGACTAAAATTTCTTATATTCTCTTAGATATTTCATCACACCAAAGCCGACAAAGAATACCACAAAGACATCCAACTCAATCAATAGAAACTGTTAGAATAGACTGGCTAATGAAAATATAACTCCAGCTGCATTTTCTTTTTGTTTCCTTTTGTATTGATGCTTCTTCAATATACAGTTGTACTGCCTTCTTACCCATGACTGAGTACATGTACAACCGTTTACTTGTGGAAAAAGATACAGAGAGAGATACATTTCAGTGTACTTAGACAGAAACCATGCCAAAGATTGTCCATGTTTCGGAAGAGCTCTCTTTACAAACTTTAGTATTAAAAGGATTGCTCACTGCAAAACTGATTGTTTAATCAGAATCAGAATCAGAAATACTTTATTGATCCCCAAAGGGAAATTCTGTAAGACCACCGGGCCATCAAATTTCTATAGCTTTTTCTTTGAAAAACCCTACAATGCATTTACTCTTGCAATTATGGTCACTCACAAACAGAATATGCATAGCAATGACTCCATTTTCCTCCCCATGCATAAATAATACATTGAGGGCAAAAATAACATTCTAATGTTAGAAATCAGGGAAGTGAACAGCATTTAATCTTTTCAGTAGTACTTTCTCACACCAACTCCACATACTTTGACTTGTCATTTAGTAAGTAATTTTTGTTTGCCTGTTGAGTAGGCCTACTTCATGCCCTGAAAACAGGGCAGAGTTAGAGTTTTCATTTTATTTTAAGTCCAAGTCCAATATTTGCATTGATCTGAAACTGAAAAAGCAATCAAGAAGGCAACAAAAAGAGAGGTGGAAAGAAGGAAGGAAGGATGAAGGACACAGCAGTGTAGCTTGCTGTGTCCTTTCACCCAGATGCAGCTGACTGGCAGTGTTTACTACAAGTTCAACTGAGCTCACAAAGCATTCTGTTTATTTGTTGGCATTAGCTCCTGCAATTAAATACTATCTCCAAACCCTGTAAGGTAATAAGCAAGTGTTACTACAGTATCTTCAACAATAATCTGGAAAATCAATTTTGACTCTGTACCATCTAACACAAAAATGTAAATACATTGAAAAGAGCACCGTGAAGGGATTTCATAATACCAAAGAATTCCTCCTTTTGTTGTGCTAAGGTACTCATTTGTTTCTCTCCTGTCCCAGCAAATGTATAAAAGGATAACTCTGACCATGATTTCTATGGTGAATGGTATTCCTGTGAAGATATATGTAGGATTAATTTGAGGTCATCTTTTTTTTTTTTTTTTTTTTTTTTTAAACCTGTCCTGCCCAGCAGCCTGGTATAGAGTATAATGACCTGGATACCATATTGTGCCAGACAGATTTTACTTTAACAAGAGAGTATTAAAATACTCCTTTGTCTGTTTTATTATTTATTTAATTATGTATTGATTTGTCACCGGGCCGGACAGGGGGGCAGACACGGGGATGGGGGGGCACAAACAGACAGCACAGAGAAAGGACAACACCTGCAAGAGAAGGGGGAAAGGGGGATGGAGGGTGGGGACAACAGGGAAAAGCTGTGGGAAACACCAATTGCAGAAAGCAACGAAACCTGCAAGAGAACAGAGAGGGGGGCTTGGGGAGGAGAAAAACAACAACAAACAAACACAAACAAAAAAAACAATAAAAATAATAATAATAGTAAAAGAAAACCAGCCGAACAGCAGCAATAAACAGCTGACATATTAATGACATATTAAGACAACTAAGAGAACAATGAAAACAAGAAACAGTCACACACTAAATAAGCAACACAACACAGCCACGAGAGCTGGAATAATAATTAATTTAAATAAGTAACTGAAAGAAAGGCATCAGGAATAATTCTACCAGGGACAACCTAAGTTTGTTTGTGTCTGTGTGTGTGTGTGCGTGTGGGTGAATGTGTCTGTATGTGTGTGTATGTACATGTGTGTGCGCATAAGCCTGTTAAAGAATGTAGTTGTTAGAGAGAGTGGGACGCCACGACTGTAACAGGCAGGCAAGAACCCCAGTAGCCAATAGGGGTGGAAGAAAGAAAAAGAATAAATCAAATCAAAAAAAAACAAAGACTCCCAGATGCACCGCGATGCAAACGCAGAAGACCCCGACCCAAATGCCAGTTGACAACGTAATGCCGACGGAACGCAAAAGAGGAAGAGCAGCGCCCGGACCGACCGCGGCGCAGACACAACATAGACCAGTGGCCTCCCCCATCCAGCACCCCACCGCCGCGCAGCAAACAACCACAATGCCCAAATGCCACGCAATCATCAACACCAATGCACAAGTGACGAGCCCAACGCGCACACTGCGCGAGCACGGCGACACCCATGCCCAGCAGCCCCCCGCGAATCCCGCGTGCGAGGTCGGGCAAATGAGAGAGAGCAAACGGAACAACACGACAGCGAAAGCCAGCGGAGAGAGACACCAGCAGCAAGCCCAGCCCGGCAGCAAACGCGCCGCACAGGTCACCGTGCACCCGCCAATAAAAGTCCACCGTCCCCCCAACTGCCGGAAAAAACTAAGGCCGCCGGCGCCAGCCGACATCCCCCATGCCCAGCGCGCCCCCCGGCCGCCATGCAACACCAGCCAAACCAGCAACGAGGCAAAATCAACTAGCTCAGCTGCATGCCACCAACAACCCACCCATCCATCAAGGGCCGAGAACTCCAGGCACAAACCCAGAACAAACCGGAGCACAGCCCTGCCCCGCACCCACACTGCACATCCCGAAAACTAACTATATACCTCAGTATCCAGAGGGGTCCAACAACTGGCCGACAGAGAAATGGGCAAGCACGGATCCGAGGCCAACGAAGCAAAACAGGAACGCAAACAGGTCCCTCCAAGCCAACGAGGAGATGCCTCCCCCGGACTCCAACGCACAAACTAAACGCCCAGCAGCCATCCAGAGACCCTGCCCAGGGAAAAAGTATAATACATCAAGATGCATCGATAATCGTCCCACAATCCCACCGCAGACCCCCACCCCCAGAAGCCAGGACACCCTGCGACCCCCAAAGCGCAAAGGACCCCAGACCGCATGTCCAGGGGGAAGCTGTACCCCGCCCCAAGGAAGAACAGCAGAAAGCCGTGCCGGGAAGCTCGCTACCGCCAGGGAGCGATAACGCGGGAGAACCAGGCCAACGGTCCCCCAGCCCAGCCAGAGGCATCCCTCCCTACAGTGCAGCCAGTGACAGCAGCCCCCGAGGCCGATTTCATCCCCGGACAGGGGCCCAGCCCCCCCAGTCAAGCACCCCCAAGGAGGAGCACCAAAACCTACCCCGACAGCACCGGTCATGCGCCCCAGAGACTCCCGAATGCCCCCACCGTGAGAGAGCTGGCAGGGGGAAGCAGCGGGAGCCTCACCTCTGCCGAAGAGGGCCCAGGCGAGGAGAGGAGACAACGGGCCCCCAGGCCCAGGGACACACCACCCGCCCAGAAATGAGCAAAGGCCACAAGCCCGAGTCCGCAGAACCCTAGGCCAAGGGCGGGCCCCCACGCCAGGGGAGCCCCGACCCCCCCAGCCCACCCCAGATCAGGCAAGGCCGCCACCAACCCCACAGCACCCCCAACGCCCGGGGCTCCAGGGGTAGGACACGAGGCCAATGAGAATCTCTCCCACTCCTTCAACCCCTCTGCCTGCCTCTGTAAATGTATTGTTTTGTGTTGGATGCATGTCATGGATTGTGAAGTGTTGTATGGTGGAGTGAAGATAAGGTGTGTGGTAACTAAGGTGCAACTAAAATTGGAGGGTAGTTGTGACACAGGCACCCCACAACTGTCAGGTAGTGGAGCCTCCCATCGTGCCCCTCCCACCCCCCAAGCCCTCTGTGTCTAATGTGTAATTAAAATTGAGGGGCAGGCAGTGAGGGAGGAAGAAGTGCGAGGCCGCAATAAAGCAGCCCCACCCCCCAAACGCCCTGCAGGCTGCCCGTCCCCCAGGATCCTAAGGGTGTATGTTGTGAGACATGACCAAAGGAGGAAA